AAGCTGTGGTGTTGTCGTACACAAACCTGCCACCTGTGTGATGATGGACAATTGGTTACTTGATGTCCCTTTGATAGGCAATTGATGCAAAGTCTAATTTTCTTTGCATGATCGAAACGTTGAGCTATGTTTAGTGACTTAAAGCGGTCGCAATTAAAAACCTGATGGTTGTTACTGTTGGCAGTGTCTTTCTAAAACTGCGATGCAATCCTTCCATGATGGCAGCGTTCTAAAGTTTAGCGACTTTTTCCACCTTTTGTTGGTCTTTTCATCAGACTTCTGCAAATTAAATGAATAAGCATAGCTGTGATATTTGCCTGTCGGTACCTAGCGATGTCAAGGAACCATAAGCAATTTAACTTCTTAGGTAAATGCCATTTGGTTTCATAACTGCAGGTAAGTCAAATAACGAACTTATTCCTTCCAAGAAAATAATATTTTTGTTGTTATGCTGTACCTTCAACCGTTCTAACGTCTTCGGGTAGTTTTCATTTGTCACTTAAAACGCATTTACAGTTTCCAAGGCTTGGCCTTGTAGAGAAATTCGCAAATGGTTGATTTTTCAATATTAATCAAATTGAACTCACGATTAATTATTTGATTGAACGTGTTGATAAAATTTTGATAATTAGAATACTTGCCGTCAAACGTAGGAAGCTTAAGTGGTGAAAGTTTTGAACTTGATTGTATTCCGCAGCTGAAAGAGTTTTTCCACCTGGACGCAAGGAACCGTCAACGATATTTTTAACGCGTGTAATAATTTTTTTTGTGCTGGCGCGTTGTTGTCTTAACTCGTCCACAGACATTGCAGAACAGGATCTTGTATAAGCTTTATAGAGGCTTCAAAATTATTTTATTTAACAATAATTCTACTTCTAGTGAGTAGTTAAGCAATAAGTGATTAGTTAATTTTACCGCAAAAACTTATGTATAATATGAATATGCAACGAACATGCGAAAACGAGCTGCAGGCAGTGGCAACGAGAAGACTTAGCGATGGCAAGCAGGTCTGCTGTGCTGTGTGTGAGCAATGTTAGTGTATCCAATGGTACAGATGTCCAATGGTGACGAAGTTCAATGGGTACAAATACTAAAAATTAAGCCAACGTATCATATTTGATATACAATAGTTTAATGGCAAAATGTCTGAAATCGGCCACAAATTAGCCCAGCTCCCATATACTGCATATAATGAAATTGCGTGAAAACATGTTCTCGAGTATACTTGAGTAATGCCAAACATTAACATAATCAGTCCAGATCTTTCCCTAGCCCTAATCCTCACGACATAGTGATTTCCATCAATTTTGCTGTGTGGGTCAATATATGTTATGTTTTAATGCAATTAAATAGTAAATTGTTCCTAAAAATAAAGGAGTTTAGAGCTGTATATGAATGAAATTGGTCTAGACGTTGTTCGAAACTTCATATCCATAATATACTGATTTCCGCGGTGTTAACGGTTGTCCCGTTAATCGAAAACCTATAAAGTGCTGGAACTAAGCTCTAAATTAAGATACAAACCTGTAATTTGGCGCAGTGATTCACAGTGCAGAGGGACCACTATCGTTTAAAATTTTTGAATAATAATAGGTTTAAAGTGGATAGCTTTAAAACCACTAAAGCTATGTATTTATCATAAAGCAAATTTACTGAGAAGAAATAGAGTCAGCACCTCTTTGTTCAGTGTGAAAATTTGCGAAGAGCAACTGCTCTCACTTTTTACATGCTACATTTTACATTCCATTTTTTCTTTCATTTTACAGTATATAAATCCAGCACCAATGATAATTTCAGAATAAAACTTGTCCTAAATAGTGCTTTTAAGGTAGTCCATATCACGTCTAAAAATTCTTGAAACAAACCATAACTTTTCAAGCCCTCAATATACCGAATATATGGACCCCAATTCCTATGGCTGAATTTTTAGAGAAATTATCGGTCAAACTTTAAGAGTTAACAAGCAATTTTTTTTTGTTTTGGTATACCATATCGACCAATGCCTTCCACACAAATAACTATTGCTACTCCAACTCCAACTTATTCTCCAACTCTGACCACAAACTGTAGTCCAAAGAATTCAAATCTGATCTTTTAAATGGCCAGTCACCTGCAGCTATTAAAACAGGAATGTTGTTTTCGGCCACTGCTTGGTGTCCTTTAGCAAAATTTTGTTGGAAGATCCCATGTTCTTCATTAAAAATAATATTTGTTAACTGCTTTACCATGCCTTCTAAAACATCCTGCTATTAAGCTGGTTGACGAGGTGTAACGCCTTTGCAGGAGACAACCCATCAAACCATTAGAGCAGCTGGATAGTGACCACGTTTGAAATACATTTTTTGCGTCTTTGTAGTTTTTGCGTGGATTTTGTCGTTTTGTTTACTAAAATCTTCATCATCTGTTAAAAATAAACGGTATAATTTCATGTGGAGATAATTTCGAATAAGTTTTGACATTGATCTCGTCGATATATATATTTCCCTTGACATAATTTTCTGTTTTCCTACGGGGATTTGTGCGAACTCGTTCGCGAACAGTTTTTATGGCTGAATTGATTCGAACCACGCTCTTTCTGTCATCAACTGTAGGCGTTTGTGAAAAACGATCAATACTGCGATAAACATGCACTCTCGAAATATTACGTGTTTTGAGAAGAAAATATCACTTGCGCTTTTTCACACTTATGTATAGCAATTAATGCAATACCATTTTCTTGAGCTCCCCACTCAATTGTTAATAAGCGAAAGCAAACACTTAGCTGGTTATTATATGTACGTGAGTTGACACTGCATAAAAATTATAGTCATAAAACAAGTAAGAAAGGGCTAAGTTCGTGCACAACCGAATATTTCATACTCTCTAATTTGTATGCCAACATTATACTTATGTTCAGTTAATTTTGCTCATACGGTATATAGCCAACCGGAGTTTACAAATTTTATATTAGGTATATGAAAGATAGAGGTATTGATTTTATCTATGTTTGGCGTTACTAATTATTATTAAGAGAAAAGATGCTCTCTGAGTTTCATTAAGGTACCTCGCATACTATCACCAATATATAAGGAATTAAGGATGTTTGAATATCTAGGACAAGTTTTCACCCGATTTTATTCATTTTAGGTACAAAGAAACACTATTGTTAGAGAAATATATTCCCTTAATTTCATTAAGTTAACTCACATATTGACCGATATATGCGTTGTAAAATCAACTGGAAATTCGAAAATCTGTATATCAGGTATATGGGCTAAAAGGATGTTTTGAAACGATTCAACCCATTTTTGACAAATATATACATACATACTATTATCTGGGAAAAATTATCTCCATATAAAGATAGTCATTCACACTGGACGATTTTGATAATTTATATATTGTATATATATATACATAAAATCATATAAAAAAAAAAAAAAATATATATATATATATGGTTCTGATATTATGTATGATTCTAAATTACAGTTTTGTATTTTAATTTGCGGGTAGTTATGGCACCTTATGTGTTTACGTTTAATGGCGTTTTCTGGGTGTGGTAGTGGTCCGACAAAGCTCATCTACAATACCAAACGTTTTATGGTGCCCAGAAATACGTGTACCAAGTTTCCTCAAGATATTTAAATGTTTACTCAAGTTACAGCTTGCACGGACGGACATACAGTCACCCGGATTTCACGTCACGTCATCCTGATCATTTATGTATTTATATGTAACTCTATATCTATCTCGATTAGTTTTAGATGACACAAACAACCGTTAGGTGAACAAAAATAGTATACTCTGTGGCAACATGTTGCAAGAGTATAATAATTAGATTCTTCGAGTTTATACCCGCGATGTGATTGTAATCTTTGTAACAGAATTTATGGCGGACTAAGTAATTCCCCATTGAAAACATGTTTTATTGATTGGTTTTTTAAACAAAGAACGCTCAATAAGAACGATTTTACAAGCCGAGAAAAATATAAAAAAATATTATAATAATACTCAAATTGTCCAATATTAACGAATGATTGATTAAGGTTATAATTCTGGGTAATGTGTTTAGTAATTATGTCGTGTCATAGAAATGTGCTATCGAAATGTTTATATCTTGAGAATTACAAAAATTTTATCCCCCGTAAAAATAATTAATTTATCATGTGGCAACATCCCTCGAATCTTTTGACATATTGCTGTTTATGTTTCTGACACCTTTAGAAGTATTTATAGAATGACCAAAATAAATACGATGAAATAACGAACAAAGAAGGAAATTTTCTAAACACCAAATACTTTGTTCCACTTCTGCAACTAAACTGTCTGTGTCTTACGAAAGAGTTGTTATACACATATAAATATTTATGTGTATATATATTTGTTATTAATTGGATATATAAATAATTAAGATTAAAATTGTACAATAAGTACGTAAAATGCTTTAGCCATGTAAAATGTATAAAGTATTAAGAGTTCATAAATGAGTATTTTTTTAATTACGTGGCTTTGATTTTGTTTTTGCTATGACATCTTTAATGGAGTAATAAATCTATTTTTAAATAAAATAAATAAATTAAACTGCTCATTTGTAGCTAACAAGAAATTAAACAATAAGGCTCGGAAAACAAAATATGCCAATAATATTTTGTTGTCGTGTAAAAGTTAATTATTGGAAAACATGTCAAGTAGTGAGAAGTGTTTACTATTTAGTTAAGATAAAATTGTGAAATTTGAATTTCCATCAGTAATACATACTTAACGGTTGCAGAGTTATGAAATTACTTTAAAATGGAGTGGTATCCTGAAGAAGATGAAGAAGAGTTGATGTATTCGCCAGCTTTATTGGCTAGAAGAGCATCTGAGAGCTGGATCGTTGAGCCACCGGTCGAGGTTACTTTAAATATTTAAAAACAAATGTATATATGTAGAATGCGGCTTAAAAGTGTATAAATTTTAATTTATATGTTGCATTTAAAATGTGTTAAAAAAAAACATATACATATTCTTATTTTTAGATTACTCCTATAAATGTAACTCTTCAACGAAAAAAATCGCTTCCCGATTTTCAGGATCTTCCACGTGCCACGGAAGCTATGACTCGGGAGGAGGTATCCGCATTGGGTTCGGCAAGACGTGAAGCTGTACGCCGCCAAATAGAAATTAACGAAAGACTAAAAGCGAATCCCCTACTTTATATTTTTAGTCCACAAGTTAAGGTAACATTTTTTTGTTGAAAATCGAAAAAATAGTATATAAAAATTTTTTGCAGGATTGGTTTTCTCGACAACAATTGGTGCTAGTTGTGCTTTTTGTAAATATTCTTTTAGGCTACCTTTTCGTGAAAATTTTAACATAGCAAAATTTATTTAAAGCCTAGTATACACAAATGAAAATTTACGGTTTTAGTTAAATATATCAGTAATTTAAAGTTATAGTCGCATTAATGTTTGCAAAATTTTGATAAAAATAACATTTTAAATCCAGTGTTTCAATGAGCATTACATATGCTTTATATACTTAAAAGTTTTGTCGTTCACTATTATGCATTTGGTCAATTCGCTCGAAGAGACTGTTTTTATGCAATCCAATCACATACTGTATTTTTTAATGGATTTAAAAAGTATTCGTGATATAGTTCACTTATTTAAAGATTTTGCTTATCAGAAACATTGGACTCTTTCTCTTATCTATTGTAGGAAATGGACATGTACTTGTACACAAAATAAAATGGTCAGCACCAAAATATTAATTGCATATCAATACATATTAGAGTGGAGCGAAAATTTTTTTTTTTTTGCTTAGCCTGAGCGTAAAATCTGTAGATTATAAAAAAAGAAAAGTTTTGGACAAAAAAAAAATTTTTTTAACATCTAGAGGCGGAGCACTCAGTTTTAAAGTTAATTTCCGAGTTAAAATTTTTATCTCGTAAAAAAATTTTGATAAGTATTCTAAAAGCTGTGGAGAGTCCTCTTTCTAGCCATTAAAAGTTATCAACTTAAAAAAAAATTGTGTGGTCATTATTAGAGTTTTAATAAAATGTCTTAAACGACCACATGATTTCCTCATGCGTTAAAATAAATTTTGAGTCAAAAACCGTTCACATAATTTTTTCTTGTCCAAAAATTTTAACTCTTAATTTACTTTAAAACTGAGTGTGCCGCCTCTAGATGTTAAAAAATAAATTTTTTTTTGTCCAAAACTTTTCCTTTTTTATAATCTACAGATTTTACGCTCAGGCTAAGCAAAAAATAACTTTTTTTCGCTCCACCCTAAAATGTATGTATATGCAACTAATATTTTGGTGCTGATTACTTTATTTTGTGTACAAGTACATGTCCATTTCCTACAAAAGTATAGATAAGAGAAAGAGTCCAATGTTTCTGATAAACAAAATCTTTAAATTAGTGAAATCAAAAATATCTATAAATAACTTACATAGAAAATTGTAAGTTTGTATATGTAAGATTAAATCAAACATTAATTTAACAAATAATATTATTTAATCTAGAGTAACAACTAGTTGTTTCTTCAGTGCGAATTGACCTAATTGTAACAAAATAAATATTAATTCGATTCTTGTTTAAATCCCTATACAAAAAATCATTTGTTTTTACTTTTGTTTAATATATAATATAATATTTTTTACTTGCATTATTCAGTGGTTAAAATTTATATTACCAGGTGTTGACAAAACATTTTTCTTCGTGTCCGAGATGTTTATATTAAAATCAATATAATTAACTCAAATATACATAACAAAAATAACATAGGTATATATAAATACATATGTGATATAAATTCAACCACAGACGCTAAATTTAATATATTGGGTTCATGTAAAAAAACATCAAGAGGACGAAAATCTCTATATTAGGGATATGAGGTTTACGTTTTAGGTCTAGACCAATTTCGGTCATATTCAACGCACTTTACTTTAAAGAAAACTTCTCCACTTAATTAAATTCATTAATATATCACACATATTGACCGACACAGACAGGTTTAAATTAAGGTGGAAATCACTATATGTTATATGTATATTGGGATAAGGGACAGCTTAAGACTAATTGCATTAACTTTTTACATTGTTTACCAATACTCGAAAACATATTTTCACTTAATTTTGTGAAGACAGAAAAATTCTCAAATTTATGTTTTTCTTATCGTTTACTTCACATGGGAAAAATCTCCCATATTCGAAAATGTTCCCTAACTGTAAATGTAATATTTTTCATGTGAAATCATAAAATTCGTTCACAAAGCCGTTAAGAGCGAAAAACTAACTTTAAAATGTAATGTAAACAACTTTTTTTATTAAACAAGCTCTATTAATAAAGCACATTAAACGTGTTTGGTCAACACCAAAGAAAATGTAAACGCATATTGGAAGAAGTTGCATGATTCCCTTAACAGCATGGGGTCACGATTGAAATCAATTGCAGTATGGAAAAAGGTAACCAATGATTGTCGATTGTTCGTCCGTTCTAGCTGTTTTAATCCTTTATTCTTTAGACTTCCAAAACAGGTTTGGATAGACCAGAAAAGATATGTTCGGGGTCCAGAATGCGCAAAATAAAAAAAGACCGGCGGTGGACCGTGTAAAGAGTTTCTGTTCTGGAATAGTCCATTTTGGATTTAACAGCAACAATTCAAAGCGTGGAAGGTGGCAGAGCTTTTGGTTTACAAACTAGGTCAACTAACACAATTGATAGCAACCTGTGCGAGACAAGCAAGAATAAAGAATATGATGTAGGCCCAGAAACAGAGGAGCAAAGTTTTATGAACAATAGCTTTGACTTGCGAAAGTATCAGTGAATACAAACGAAAAAAAAAACCCTGTACACGAGCCAAAACCACAAACGCAGAATAATACTAATACTTTCGAGGTACTGAGTATCGAACTGAAAATATAAAAAGAAATATGTGTTAACTTAACTAAGAGTCTACAAATACGGAGTGAACACTACAAAGAAATAGAAAATTAATTAAGGAAATTAGAAGAAGACATTGAAATGTGCAAAAAACTCAAGTTAATTTACTAACAGAAACACAACATCACAATGTAGACATTGCAGGCCTTAAAAAAATAGAAGTAGAACGTTCACTATAACTTATATAGGCCCAAATCGAAGTTCAAAAACTAGAAATATTCGCTGCAAAGAGAAACTTAGGCAATAACTATATTGCCTTATATACATATGTACATACATCTTTTCTCTAATTTTAATTTTCCTTTTTCTGTAATTAATTAACGATATTTACTTTATTTTAACACATTTTCTTGAAGTTTTACTGGAATTAATATGTTAATAAAAGCACATTTTTAAACTTTCAAAATTTATAATTATTCCCCAATGGTGTTGGAGGAGTTGGGTTCGGTTTCATCAGACAGTACTGGTTCATAAACTTCAGCCTGGGAAAGTTCATTTGAAATAAAATTTATGCCATCGCATCGATAGTTAAAACAAATGTTGTGTACCTTTTTAAGAACGTAATGCATCTCTCTAGCTGCCAGTACACATCTCCATCTATTTTTCAAAACACTTTGTCATTTCCACAATATTACGCGCGCGTGCATGTACTTCATTAAACTTACTTTCTGAAGATCCTTCTGCCGCCGATCGGTGGGGTATTAGCAGCCAAGTCCCTCGCCTGTGAAAAAAATTAAATTTAGTCATTGAAAGATTTAATTAAAATTGTACCTAGCAACTAAACGTTACTTGTGGCTCGCACATATTCCTGTTCCATTGAAATACGTATCTGACTCGTATACCGAATTGATGAATCGTGGCAGACTCCAGGGTGTGTATCATCAACATACCTTATTTTCATTTTATCATTACATACCTTCAGATAAACTTTTATTAACAAACGTATATAACAAGAAAATTTAATAAAGTTACCAGCAAAACATTCTTTAATATACTCCTTTTTTGTTGTCATATAAGTGTTCATTGCTTTTGGGACCTATAATTTTGACGTGGCGAGGGATATTAAATTTTTGGTAAAGATTCAAACATATTTCTCGTATCTCTATTTTAGTAAGTCACGTTATCCACTGGTTGCAGAGACATGACTAAAATACGTCCAATACTTCATAAAGGATTCCCTTGAAGCTTGATTGTGATAAACCAACATCCATTTGCCTTCCCACAACTTTCGGATACGCTTCTTCACCGAAAAATCGCAAACAAGCTGATAGTTTTACAATGGTGTCTATTGCAAAACGTTTGCTTAAAACGTTAATAAATAAATAAATTTTACATTGTATTGGGTAATTCAAGAGAATTGGTCGTCTCTCTTAAATTTTTTCGGTAAATCCTTTCAGTCAGCTGCTGGCGAGAATTGTTTTGCTCTTACAATATACAAAGTCGTATACGTTTAAAGTCAACACGTACGATTTTAGATGACGCAAAATCAAAACAAAACAAGAAAAAACGTTAACTTCGGTTGCGCCGAAGCTATAATACCCTTTACACATACAAAGGCCCCTTACAAGAACTTGATTCCGAACGTTCAATTTGTATGGCAGCTATATGATAGAGTGATCTGATATGACAAATTTCTGTGGAAAATAATTTGTTGCCTTAAGCAATAACTCGTGCCTAATTTCGTGAAGATACCTCGTCAAATAAAAAAAATTTCCATGCAAGCACTTTACTCCGATCGTTTAGAGTAATATGGCAGCTATATGCTATAGTCGTCCGATCTATACAATTTCTTCGGAGATTAGATTAATGCCTTAAATAATAATACATGCCAAATTTCGTGAAGATAGCTCGTCAAATGAAAGAGTTTTCCATACAAGCACTTCATTCCGATTATTCAGTTTGTACGGCAGCTATATGCTATAGTCATCCGATCTAAATGATTTCTTTGGAGATTACATTGTTGCTTCAAATAATAATTCATGCCAAATTTCGGGAAGATACCTCGTCAAATGAAAGAGTTTCCCATACAAACACTTGATTCCGATTGTTCAGTTTGTATGGAAGCTATATGCTATAGTGGTCCGATATCGGCCGTTCCGACAAATGAGCAGCTTCTTTGTTAGAAAAGGACAGGTGTAAAATTTCAGATCGATATCTCAAAAACTGAGGAACTAGTTCGCATATATACATACGGACAGACGGACGGGCAGACAGACGGACATGGCTAAATCAACTCAGCTCGTCACAGTGATCATTTATATATATACTTTATATGGTCTCCGACGTTTCCTTCTGGGTGTTACAAACTTCGTGGCAAACTTAATATACCCTGTTCAGGGTATAAAAACATGTGTGACAGATTGCCAAAGTTCACAATAGAGTAATCGAGCATGGGAATGATTTATTCACACGAAGTTCACGATAGGGCTGATTATATGTGGTGTATGGGATCTGGTGTAATTTATGGACCCATTTTCAACATTAAAATATAGTATATTGAATATTATACGTTCACTTAACTTGTGAAGATAGAGATGTTAAAATTCTTATATTAGATATACTTGTATGGGAACTAGATTTCGTATTGACTCGATTTCATCCATTTTTGGGATCACGACATACTACGAGTATTATCATAAATAGATGCCCGCAAACTTTCATTGAGATACCTAACATCTTGACCAATATATAAGGCATAACAAAAGAATGCTTTAAATTCCCTAAAATAGGAATAGGGGGGCTAGGGGAAGTATTCACGTGATTTTATCCCTTTTGCGCACACGGATACACTGTCAACAGAAAGATATTATTTGTAAATTTCGTTAAGATATCTTGCATATGATATTGGATGTTGTTGTCGTAAGTGACCCATTTTTCATCGCCAGTCACAATGCGCTTCTAAAAAGAGACCGATTTTGTTGCGATTAGTTATTAGATGTTAGTTCGTGTGGCACCCAAACATCCAGCTTCTTTTTGAATCCAAGGCTATGCAAATGGTTCCAAACGGTTTTCTGGCTTATCTTTAGTTCCTCAGCAATTAAATAAGTGCTCACGTGACGGTCTGTTTACACTATTTCCATGATTTTATCGCAATTTTCGACGACAGGCCTCCCGTCGTGTGGTGCATCTTTGACATCGAAATTACCGGAACGGAACCTAGCAAACCACTTTGTGCTACACGTTCGTTTCCAGTATCGGGCTATAAACTAAATTAATTTTTTCAGCCGCTTTGGCTGCTTTTTCGCCTTGATTGAAGAAAATTTGTAAAATATAGCGAATTTTCTCTTTGCTGGTGTCCATCTTTGACGAGCGCTCAAAACGTACTGAGTCAATCAATCGAAAAACTGTCAACCGAACGAACTGTTTACTTGACCTAATATATGCGGTATAAAGACATCCTGAAGTTCGAAGTATGATCTTTGTATACATTATATGAGGGCTAGAGGAATAGACCCCCTTTTTATAACGTTGTTACAATATTAGATTCACCTGCACGTTGGTTTGTATAGATGTTGTATGTTGGAATGTTTGTATGGATGTACGTTTGTTTGTATGGATGTTGTATGTTGGAATGTTTGTAACTTTTATCTGTGCAAGCGTTAACTTGAGTATAAATTGAGATATTTTGATAAAACGTGCTACATATGTATGTTTCTTGGCACACAAGAGAAATCGGTATTTCAGATGGATCTAATCGGACCACTGCCACGCCCACAAAACGTCATTAAAAGAAAACCTATAAAGTGCCATAACTAAGCACTAAATTAAGATAACCTATAAAGTGCCATAACTAAGCACTAAATCAAGAGAACGAACTGTAATTTGGTACAGGGGATCGGGGTGACAAGGCACACCTATTAGCTATAATTTAAAAAAATTTAAATTTTAAAAAATTTTAAAAATAGTCGTAGCCTCGGCCCCTAAATGGTTTACTGCACTTATCTTCCTAATCGCTGAAGCTAACTCAACCAAATTTGCTGGGAGGAAGTCTTTGGGTAAAATCATATAATAACCACACCCAGTCCCCATTTAATGGTTATGTTTTATTGCAGGAGGTGTAAAAATTGGAAAAAGGGCGTGGCACCACCAACCTTTAGATGAAATCTTTTATCTCAGGAACTATTAATCTTTCAACCAAATTTTGCTCTGTGAAAATGGGCGAAATCATACTACGACTATAAAACTATGCAGCTAAGAGCATAAACTATTTTTTGCTATCATTTGAATAACAAATTTACTCTCATCCTTAGAAAAAGTGAAAACACCACGTTTGCCTAAATAAGAAGTAGGGTATAAAATACTAAAAATCATGTTTTAAAAGCACATTAAACAAAAAAGTGAAAACTAAATATAGTTTAAAAAAACAAAAAAACAAGCTTTTTAAACACTTCAAACTCAAAAATGAAAATAACTCCTTTTATATACTGACAGAAATATTGACTGAAAAATACCTGTATTGTTGTGAGAAAAGCGTGGAATGGGTTGTGCCTTATTTTTCGTATTTCGAGATTTCTTTGAACAAAAAAAAAACTACACATATGTACATATTTACAACAAATATATAATCTAGACTAAAAAGTGGCCTGGCGGAAAACAAAAAAACTTAAGTATAAGCATACCCTTATACATATTAATTTACTTTTAATTAACAAAAATAAACACAAAACTTGCGAGTTACATACAAGTATACAAGCACTTATACCTACAAACTTGCCGATAATTATATAGCTACTCCAAACCTAATTAACAAAAATGCTCACGATATAGATGAATTCATTGCTACAATAAATAAAACAATGTAAACCAGAATTTCCATACAATGTAACAAAGTGTTGATACTTAATGATTTTTATAATAAAAAGGCATAAATCAATTAATACAAAGTATATGTAATTTGAGATCATTTCTTGCCCCTTGACATTATTATAAATAAATTGAACAAAACAAAATTACATTCTGTACCAATTCTTTGAATTGATAAAAAATTGTGAAATTCAATAACCAAATCACTTAATAAGCATTCTTTGTAATTTTATTTAAAATTGAGTAAACTATGAACTTTCGTTGTGAGAAATATTATTCAATAAAGTTAGTCTGATTTCTACATTTTTCAGCGATAGTTCGCTGCTAATCAAAATATTCGTCTCTTTATTTAAAAAAACCGTTCGTCGCGACGTCATTTTATAATTGGCGCAGTCGGTAGGATCCTAGTAAAAAAAAGTATTAAAGGATCCAGTAAAACGAGTCCTTCGCGAAGAAAAAAAATAATATTTATTAATTTTTTTTAAATATAGTTGAGTATTTACTGTCGACAAAAGCAGACGAGTAGATGAAAAGAGAAGCAGCGCGGACGATTTACTACAGCAATATACAATAGAAGCAAAAAGCGAAGTAATAAACATCCCGGAACCTGATAACTGGAGGATAGCAAGTATTCGTGCAAACAATGTAAGTGAACTAGCTATACAAGTAGATATACAGAATATTAAATATAAGAGTGATGAATTAATCGTATATTATGGGAGTAATAGCTGTATTGACTTAAGCAACACGGACAATTTATTAGTGAATAATATTAAAGAAATGAAACAAGGAACACTGCTTGATAAAATTTATGACGAACACGACTTAGGAAGAACTTTAGAATTAACGACGAGAAGACGATATGAGGATAGTTGCGTAAGACCAGAATATTGGAAATATAATAAAGCTAAGGACGATAAAGTGAACAACAAAAACGTTTTTAGATATCAACCGCAACCAAATGACGACAGACTGTTTAATAATCATAATCAACAACAGATGCAATACGAGTATAATCGAAATAACAATTATGAACGTAAAGATCATAGAAATTATTCCATTTAAATTAGGCAACCTCAGAACTCAGGACAATTTAGCAAAAATAATTTTTTCAATAGAAATCATTTAAGTAATGAGCAATGCCAAATGTCAGGAAACCGTAGACAGTATTCAGAACAAAATCGTTTGAATTGGCCTAGGCAAGGACAGGCTGAGCCTATGGAAATTGACATAAGAGAAAGTAGCGAAACGACAGGACCTTCTGAAATAAATAGCATTTTTTTTTCAGAACTAGCCTTTTATGATTTACCGAAAATTCAAATTACGTTAGAAACAAATAAATATGTAGCTTTAATTGATACAGGCGCTTCACTTAGTATAATTGGCGAAAAAATAATTGATTTTAAAAAGATTGCGATAAAACCAATTCATTTTATAACCATTACGGGTAAGGATACTATTCATTTTGAAGTGCATACTCATGCTCCAAAGGAGTTACGACTTCCAGAAGGATGTCGGTTTAGGTGGAAAGTCAGAAGACTAGCCAACCGTTCATATCAGTTCATTATAGGTGCAGATTTACTAATAGTCTTAATGCATTAATTCATTTTAAAGAAGGTTATATAATTTTAAATGAGAAATCAGTGAATTTCATAAATAAATCTTATGCCGTAAAAGAAATCTGCTCACTTGAACCAATAAATGGTGAATT